CGTTCCTTATCTCCCAGAAATAGTCAGAAAAAGTCCGAAGTAGTCAGATTTAGTCCAAAAAGCGTTCCTTAACTCGGAAATGACAGCAAAAATGAGAGAGCAACACTCGGTGAGAGTGACTCTCATCAGTCCGAAGTAGTCAGATTTAGTCAGAAGAATTTTTTCTGGCAAAATCCTGAAAAGTGTCAAACTCAACTGAATTTAAATTAACGGAAATTAAAGAATACGCAAAAAGTGAGATTAATCTAAAAAGTAAAAAAAGTGAATTGAAATTGGAAGGAGGCAAAAAATAATTGATATAGTAAGTGTTTATTGTGCTTGTGCTTGTGTGAATGTGTTTTGCACATGCATTTCCATTCTTATTTGACGTTAGCTTTGTTGTTGCCATTCTTTGGACTAAAAATTTGGTTTTTTGCGTTCCTTTACTTTTCGTGTTATTCTCTTTTAGTGAGCGCATTTTGCTTGCGCTCTGGCATTTTGACACTTTTCAGATTTTAGTCCAAAAAGATAAGGAATGAACCTTATGTCAAATATCTTAACGCGGTTACAACTTAATGCTAAAGCCACCAGATTACCGTCTGGATGCCATGCCAGCTGTCGTCCCATACCTCTTCCCCCGGTGAACGTTCGCACACATTCGCCTGAAAATGTATCGCAAATTCTTAACTTGTCATCGCCGCACGATGAAATTAACTTACCATTAGGGCTGAATTTTGCTGCGCGCACCCATTTGTGTGTCCAGTGAAAGATGTGTATTTTGAATCAGTATTTTAATGGCTGTTCGCCATTTTTCTAGTCTGAAAACGAACAAGCTGACGAAGATGCAAACAAATTCAAGCACATTGTTGCATTTTACCGTCCTTTTTAAAAGCTTTAAAATCTTAAAACATATGTGAAAAACTTTTATAATCTGAATATTTCTAATGTCGCAATCAAAACAAAATTTTATAAATAGCATTTTTAAAAAGCAATCATCTAATGGCTGAATTTCTTTATTCATTCTGAACGTTTGGAATAAACTTTTTTGTTTACTTATTCTTTAGAACGTTCCTGATGATATGTTAACGTATATTTCAAACGTATTCTGTTTATTCCGGCTGTGAAATGGGATTATCCGGAATGTATAAAGAAACGCAGCCATTATTTTTCAAGTTTTTGGGCATATATGTTACCATTTGAACAACAAATACTACCAAGTTTTAAGAGACTATTTAATGTGACTCAGGTCAAAAAAGCGCAGTTTAGACCAAAATAAACAACTCTAAAAAACAGATGATCGCAGCTGTGGCCCAGGATGACGTCTGTTGCTAAGATATCTCACTTGTATTTGTACACAATGTTATATGGTAGCAAATGCGACAAAAAGAATCAAAGGTTTTAAGGCTCTTGAAACGTGCACATAATCATACTAAAATTGAATCGGCTATAAAGCTTCTTACTCAAAAAAAATTGTAACACTTCTGAGTAAATAAATTTGAAATTTGGGCGGGTGTGAATCGGTAACAAAGTTCTATGGGGAAAGCTGTTGAATAATATTGTTACTATGGTGAGACAGTTTTGCCAATCTGCTGTGTGAAATGAAATATTTTTTGACAGCAGTAAATTTTTGATATCCGCAGATTTATTTGGTATAAAATATTACAAATTGAAGTGAAATTAATATTTTAAGAAAACATCTACCATCGTTGATTGCAATTCATCAATTTAAGCTTTTATTTAACGAAAAATCACACATATCAACAATCTTTGCGATTGTCAAAATTTTCTATGCATTTGTCAAAAATTTAATGAGCTACTGAAATTTTATTCACCTCATAGTTGTCAAAAATTTACTCGACGCGAACTTTGTTACCGATTAACACACGCCCTTTGAATGAAAATTAGTTGATTTTTTTTAGATTTCTACAAAATTTTAAGCGTGGATTTACATTGCTTTATAAATGAACCTTATTTTAATTGAAATTGAACATACTGAAAGCAAAATTTCAATGGTTAACCATAAAACAATATGAATTGCATAAGTGATCAAGCAACCTCTGGACCCGTCAGCTTACCGACTGGCCCTGAACGGCATTCACAGGGAGTCAGTCTCGTGTTATGTAGACTCTAGACCTTGGAATGCCGTTCTAGGCATACCGCCCCCGGACACAGACGAGACGGAGCTTCATCTGCCTCGGGAGATACGAACGACACTAGCACAACTTCGCTCCGGCTACTGCAGCACTGAGTAGATTGAATGAGGATGTGCCTAATGAGTGTCCGGCATGCGGAGAGACCCCACATGACTCGAAACATCTCTTCGCATGCCCGGAAAACCCGACAACTCTAACGGCCTTGTCCCTGTGGACCAACCCCACAGAAGCTGCACGCTTCCTAGGGCTGCTGTTAGTGGAATTTGACGACAACGACTGAGATACCAACCGTCCTGGGCGGGGTTGTTGTAGCCGCTACAACAACAACAACAACAACATTTCATTTCATTTCTTTTTATTTGCTAAAACTCTAGTACAATAAGATCTGAGATCTTTTATAGTACAACCAGAAGGATATAACAAGGTAATAATGGTTACTTAAACTAAAACTTATAACAAAGTAAGACTAAAACTCATAATAAAAAGTACAGACAATTAAACAATACAGTGGTTATACATATTAACTTGAAATTTTATACTCAGATAGCGAAACTCATAATTATACAACATTATTATTTAGACTACTGCGAGTTGCCATTGGAATAGAGTTCCAAATTCGAATAGCATTGACAGAGAATAGCCGTGCGGAGGTTAGATAATTATAATCTGGTACTATCAAATCATTAATTCGAGCTGATTTAGGGAAAATGAGCTTGTCATAATAGATAACCAGGCTCCTTGTGCACAATAAGTCGATAGAGAAAGATGCAGTTT